TCTCCCCCTCCCTTCCCCTCTCCCTCCCCTCCTCCTTCCTTCCTTCCTTCCTTCCTTCCTTCCTTCCTTCCTTCCTTCCTTCCTTCCTTCCTTCCTTCCTTCCTAAATGTGTACACCACTAATTTCAGCACATTGACTCATGGTGGTTTGGTTGGATCACAATCATGCTATTTTCAATCATCCCACTAGTGGCTGGACAATTCTGCCTCCTCAAGAGACAGAGCAAAATTAGAAGGTGCAGAGAAGAGCCTTTACTGCCTCTATGTGCCCATGTTCCCTCATTGCCAAGGCCCTGCTTCACAGTGGCCCCAATTTCATGTATTCCTCTCACAAAAACATGTGTCCCCTGCTTGTCACAGCATGGTCAGGTGGGCAAGTTGGGGATTCCTCTAAGGAAAAAATGGGGCAAGAACAAGGCAAAACCTTAAAACAGCCGTTTTAAGGTTTTCTCCATCTTTCTCTTCTGCAGTTGTCCTTTCTTTTGAAGCAAAATAGCATGAAAATCCATCCCCCACCATAACTACGAATTGTTATTTTAAGATACTGAAAGGAGAAACTAGATACAGGAATTATCATCTGCCTCATTGCCCTCCTCCCAGATTAGAGCTGAGATGTGCCTCGCTTGTACCTGTATTCTTCCTGTTCAGAATCCAGGTGTCGTCGGGTACCCATTGAAGGCTATACTGCTTTGGGGGAGTCATGTTTTCCTAAAAGTTTTGACACTTTTTTCTTTTTTTCCCCTCTCTTCCTCCTTAATGCCACTGTCAGTTTACTTGAGTTTTCCCATCATACCAGCAGTTAACGTGAGTTATTTGCTTTTCAGTCTTCATTTAGGCACTTGAACAGATCAGAATCAGATACAAAGAGGAAATCAATAGGTACAAAGAAGAAAGCAAGTAGGGGGACATTCCATAGGTATTATCCTGCCCAACCCAGGATACATCCAAAAATTGGATCCTCAGATGTTATAGGCTCTGCCCAAGGCAATACTAGCTTAGAATAGCATAACAAACAGAACTGCTTGCATATATCAAGCCAAGCGCCTCACTGAATAATCACTTCTGGGAGAAGTGAAAGCAGCACATGTGATCTAGAATAAAGCGTTGTGTTAACAGTTATTTTAGTGGTTTGTATGGATGTAGAATAGGAACCCCTTTCTCAGGACCACTTGAGCTATCTGGTTATTAACTAGTAAATAGATCACCTACAAGCCTGGCCCAGGAACATTTTTTTGATGAACATGTCATATTCAGAAAGCATTTTAAAATCTGTAAGAAGACTATGCAACTCACAGATAAAATATTTTAATAATCTAAAAGATGTTCTCATTAGAAAGTGGGGGGTGATGGAGAGAGAGAGAGATTTCTGTAGTAGATGCATGGAAGCTATTCCTGTGGAAATAGAAAGAATACCAACTCATTATACGGAGTATAAGAAGGAGCTGTTCTTTTTTCTGGGTTCTGAAATTGGTTCTCAGTCATCACTGATTGCAATCAACCTAATCAGTGTTCTGAGCAAATTTCAATTTATATATTGAGATCACAGTACTAATAATATAAGGTAATCAACCTGTGGAAAGTGATTTATGCTATCAGTAAATGTCTCGTGTGTATAAAAGTCATTACTGCGGATTCCAGCTCTACTCTCCCTTTGTGTGATTTGCTTGCTTTTTCTTTAAATATTAATTCTGCTTCCCTTTCCTTTAAATATGGTCATGTCAACAGTGAGAAAATAAGGCTCAGTGAGATGCAATGTTTGCTCATTGATATGAAAATGAAGAGCAAACTAGTTACCTATTACAGCAAATAACTGTAATCCTTAAGGGCATATCCTGCTATACAGAATTTTCCGCCACTCTCTTTGAAGGTAATGGGGTTGGCTGATTGGATGGACAAAACAGTAGACTTCTCCAACCTCTTGTTTTCCAGATGTTTAAGGCTTCACTTCCCATATTCCCCAGCCAGAAGCCATCTGTCTTAGAATTGAAATCCAGCACACCTGAATGGTACCAGGTTGAGAAAGGCTGGTAAAGAAAGTGAGACGAGATATGTCCTTTTCTTCCTTAAATCAAGCTAATACAGCTAAAAGGTAGTCCATGTAGGCATGTTGGATCCCTAAATAAATATTAGCCATGGACTGGGGGAAGATTCTTAAGAGAAGAGAATTTCAGTCCCTTAATATAATGCTGAAAGCTTATATTGCACAGAAGCATGAACATGTAAAGTGTATGTGTTGTTGTTGTTGTTATTATTGTTATTATTAAGATTTATATGGTGCCTGACTCAAAATGACTCTGGGGAGGTTCACAAGTAAAAACATTAAAAACAAGAGAAAAATACAATAATAGACAAATTGAAGAACAGATGACAAAAAAACAGACAGTAACGAAAAAGAAAGAAGCCCACACAATCCAAAAGGGGCTTCACTCTCCCTTGCCAAAGGCCTGAGTGAAGAGCCAGGTCTTTCAAGGTCCTCTGAAACACCAGCAAGATGGAGGCCATCCAGATCTCAGGGAGAACCTCATTCAAGGGGCAGGCCCTGCTACAGAGAAGGCGTGCTTCTGGGGACCTGATAGATGGCATTGTTCAACTTAAGGAACCCAGAGCACACCAACCTTGCCAGATTGAACTGGCTGGGTAGATATTATATGAGCCAGGCATTATGATCATTTTTTTTTAAAAGTCCTCATAATAAGCAAAAGCGTTTAAAGAAAATCCAGGTAAGTGCCTGTCAGGGAGTGCACCCCGGGGATGCCTCTCCATGAACGCAGACCTGCACTCATACGACTTAGCCGACGATTCAGGGATGAAGCACAGATAAATAAGTAACTTTATTGCAGATCCCAAGCAATTCTCATGTCAATGAAGATCAGCTTTTATAGGGTCTAAGAATCTAGCTCTTTTTACAGATATGCCCCAAGGTTCAGATCCAGAGTTTTGTTCTCCTGCGTTTTTGTTGTAATGGGCCGTTTGCTGCCTGTTTCTCACACTGGCCTGTTGATGGCACCCAGCCGTGTTTACAAAATAATTTGGCGCCTCCTTTTGTAACCTACGTCTATAAGACAATCCTTGTTTTTTGCCTTGCCAATTATGCCACATTTTCTTTCGAATTAAACTAATTTGGCATA